CTCTCTCTCTCCCTCTCTCTCTCCCTCTCTCATTTTATTTTGTAGTAATGCTACATCGTGTTGTAAATCCACCCTGAGCAACAATCACGACACCAAAGCAGAGAAATAAAATGTCGTCTGCGTGACTGACGAGTCTAATTCACCCGAAGGTGACGACCCTGAACCGAACCAACATCCGTAAAGTTTTTATCGTCCTCTAAAACGCAGCCCACTGCTCTGAGTCCCACTGGTGGACATGTGGGTGAATTACAGCTTCTTCATTAAACAATCATCAACCTGATTCAGAAACAACAACACGTCCTCGTGACTCCGACATTATAAAACTATATAAGTGAAAACTCTGTATGAGCAGAGCATGAACTCAGATTATTAAGATTGATAAAAAGCATTAGTTGAAATCACAAACCTCGGAGTTCTGCTGAGGATTTTAAATTCACTCTGACTCTTCAGATGTTTGTGATTGTTTGATTGACGGAGCAGATCGGCTTCACGTGAACTCATCGCTGAAGCTCACGATGGTTGACTCAGCCCTGAATACTTGAGACAAACTGAAGACGAAGCTTCAGCAGCAGCTTCGGTATCATGTTTGTATTTATCACCAACTTCTTCTTTGGTGTATAAATTATAACGGTTTGTATTTTTGAGTTCAGCAGCTCTGGACACTTTCCTCCGCTGAGGCTCACTCGTCTTCAGAGACTCACTCGTCTTCAGAGACTCACTCGTCTTCAGAGACTCTGTGAGCGAGGACAGGATGAATGAATCGGGTTGTACTCACGGTGTCAGGTTGGTCTGGGCTGAAGCTGGCGGTGGATTCAGTGTCTCTGCGGCAGCACGGTATGTGAGGATGATCTGAAGAACAGAATCAGTGAGTGGACAGAGCGTCGCCTCCCTTTATAACCTCTCTGTAAAGGTCAACGCAGCACGTGACCTCCTCCGCTGCAGCTGATTGGTGGAGCTGGTGTCAGTGGACGGTCATAGAAGGCCTGACGATTCCTCACGGAAAACCAAAATGAAGCAGAGGCAAAACTATTGTGCTCCTCCTCATCCTCGGTCTCAGCTACTGTATCTGGTCTATCTATGGAAGCTGAGCCACCTTCTCTCTTTCTCTCTCATGGACTCATCCATCCATCCATCTATGGTCATCAGACCTCCACCTCTCCCTCTCTCCATCCTCTCCTGTTTAAAGAAATGATTGTTCATCACTTCGGACCTTTTTATTTAAATTAGATCTACGATGTAAAGTTGTTAACTCACTGTGTCTCAGAGCAGCGCTCACGTCACTGACCCAGAATCAGGTCACAGCTTGTCCCGCCCCTTATTTTTGCAACTTTGATCGTTACTCCGATTATTCGTTTATTAGCTTCATCACGACGCAAAACAAATCCTGGGACAACACGTGTGTTGTTGCCATGTTTGAAGGAGTCTCTGACATGGGACAGACGGACAGTGACGTGACATCTGTCTCCTGACGTCAGCGATGCTTCTGTCCTCTAACCAAAACACAGACTCCATCTTAATCTCCCATGATGCCGAATGTTTGTCACGGAAGTGGCTTCAAATCCTGGATCAGATTTGATGACTCGCTCGTCATGAAAATGTGTTTTTACTTTGGCGAGTTATGAATCTAGAGCCGATCCCACGAGGACCCAGCGGAGTGTGTCGGTATTCCTTCTCCCCAGAGGATAAACTAAACTCAGCTAAACGAACGTTTGTTATTCTGCTAAAAAAAAATGAACACGATGATTTTAAATCTCAAAAACTGCAAATGTGAAAATAAAAGCTCTTAAACTAAATTATTTATTTTATCACTTAACACAGAGTTCAAGACGCTGATTGATTCAAACGACTGTAAACAAAGATGGATGTCAAAACATCTCAGTCGCCCCCTGGTGGCCGGCCTCCTACATGTCAACGCATGGGACCCAACTTAAAAATCAAAGTGGATGTTAAATAAATTTTGAACAAATTTGAAATGAATGTTTTTAATTCGGTCACCAATTATTTTTTTTTAAATGAGTAAAACAAGTAAAGTTTGAGTTTTAGTGAAAAAGATTCATGTCGGTGTAAATATTTCACATGAATTGTTTTTTTATTGTTCATCATTAAAAAGATGATTTTATTTTTTTCCTTCTGTTCACTTTCTTTTCTTGCAGCTCAGCTCTGTGTGAAGAAGTGTTTTATAAATAAAGTTTAGATTTCTCCGTCCTCCGCTCCGTCCATCACTGTCCCACATCCACTCGTCCACCTCCGGTCAGCTGCCTCCAGTGGACGAGTGGAGGAACGACGGCTCGTTTCCCAGAGAGCTTTGAGTTTCTCTCGGAAAAGAACCGAACATTCGTTTGTTTCTCTCAGTTTTATGTGAATGTGACTCCGCCTCCTGCTCTTCTGTTTTTCCTCCACTCGTCTCTTTGTCTCCCTCCATCCCTCGCTCTCCCTCCAGTTGTCTCTCCAGCTGATTCTCTCTAATCCAGGATAACTTTGTGTGAAGCTTAAATACTGACTCACACACCCTTAATAACACACACACACACACACACACACACAC